GGCTGCTAAACAACATTAGAACACTTACCTCTCCCTGGCAGGAGCTTTGCAGCCTCCAGAGTGGGGAGAATGCACAGTTCATGGAGTGCTGCTCGGATTCAAGTCAGTGACCTGACTCATCACACCCACTTGCACCATATCAAGACACGACTTTCGAGGCAATGTAGATGGCAAGGGTCTAGGGATGCTAACCATCATCGTCCATGCTGTTTGCACTTTTCTGTTTGTTGTTGGAATTGCTAGGAACAAGGGCATCGCTACTAGGAGCAAGGACGCTACTAGTAGCTCCTGGCCTTACTACTAGGAACGAGAAGCTACATGAAGCTACTAGTAACCAAGGGCATCGCTACATGGTGCCTCTGAAATTCCTCACGAGCCAAGCTGTTCCGAGGTCAAATGGAGCGTCGGATGCTCCATGACGTCGAGATAGATCCGAACGAGCCGCTGTCGGCTTCTTATCAAGTAGCCTCAGCCAGAGCGGCTTCTGCTTTGAAGGATTTACCTAAGAGCTTCCAGGAGGAGATTGGCGCTAGCGATGGGCCGGATTGGTTCGCTGCCACGATCCAGAAGTTGGCATCCTTTGCAACCTCCGTTCTCAAGGAGAACGCGCAGCTACGGTGGAATGCCGAGCTGATACAAGCAAGGTCGCCACCAAGCCCACGCCAAGCAGCAGATGAGGCTGGAGGCTACAGTGACAGAAATGGATCTGAAAGCATGGAAGAAGGTGCTCGCAGCACTCGGTCCGAACTTCACCTCGAGGAGGCTGAGATGAGGCAAGCAGAAGCGGAAGCCGCACTTCAGTTAAGGAAAAGCGAGTGTGCAAAACTGGCCGAAGCCGAGTCCAAAGCGGAAGCCCGGCTTCAAACTTTGGAAATGCGACTGGCTGACAAGCAAAGCCAAGGTCAAGTAAGTCAGCCAAGTCACAGTCGAAGCCAAAGCAGCAATCGCAGCAATCTTACTCAAAGCCGGTTGCGCCGGACTTCCGACCAGAAGAAGCCAAGCGCTGACTCGCCGAAGAAGCTGAAGAAACGTTCACCTCGCGAAATCAAAGCCTCACCTCACACGTCGAAAGAGAGAGGGGACAAGAAGTCCACGGGGCCAACTATTCCAAAATTGGCAGATGCACCTCGCCATGCAGTTTGCACTCTTTCTTTAAAGTCAACTTGTACTTCTCTCAGAGGAAAGAACGGCACAGGCTTCCAGATGCTTTTCAACATTCTGAGGCATCTTGCAGAGCTGATGTCTCTGATAGTGCCTTGGCATGCCTTGGCCAGTTTCGAAGTCCGATGGGCAAAGTCACCGAGTGTCACTGAGTGCATCTGCGCGCTGCCGTTCAGGCAACGTGCTGAGCAGCTGCCTTTACAACAGAGACTTAGTCAGCAGAGTCGTCCCACACTCCGAGCGACCGGATGCTGGAGGACGTGCAAAGTCTTCGATCGAATAAACAGAATCTGAGCCACGACAACTAAGACCAAGAAACACGAAATATATTGTATCTTCCTTTTGCATTTTTTTTTGGGGGGGTTCTGCTATGTACGTTCTGCTTACGGCACCAACTCGACTTGCATTTGCATTAAACAAAGGCCGCAAAAACAACAGATCCTTCTGAGTAATGGGGAGTCAAGCTGAAGTCGCAAAGGGTGCTGTAGTCTTTAAGACGTTCTCTGAATCCAGAGTCTTTCTTTTCCTTCCTTTCTTTATAGTTTTTTTAGACTTTCTATCTCTAGAATCGTTTGGACCTTCTTCTTTCCTTTCTTAATGTAGTGTCATCATGTGTCATCATTCTTTTTTCCAGCCCTCTCCGTCGTCTCAGGTGACAGCAGCAGCAATGGACATCGTGGTGCGTATCCGCCGAGCAGCGACCTGGATAGCAACAGGTTGAGCATCATCTAAAACCGACCAACGACACGCAATGACATGCATAAAGGATTGGAGGAAGCTCAGCAGGCGAACATAGGGTTGTAGGATGTTGTAGGCTTAATTTTTGTTTCACTCATTGAGATCAGCGGATGGCAGAGTTTGCTTCGACATGACATGTCGATCTGCAAGTCGTGCCAGGTCCAGACAGTGCACAACCGGATCGGCCTTACCATTGCTGGACCCATGAAGGGGAATTTGACTGCATGTTCTTGTTACATTTTTGTTACATTTTGTTGGGTGTTTGAATCTGGATGCTAGTTGGCTGCGCATGCAATGCAAGAATGCAAGAATGCAAGAGGAAGACTAGTTACTAGCTAGCAATTTGTTCCATTAGATATTCAGGACTTGTTTTTGTGATTTTTTTGTGTACCTTCAGGACAGCGCAGAAGCGCCAGCCGGGTTCGGAAATTCAGGACGAGTCGGACGAGTGCAACAGTGGCACTGTGCTGTGATTGTGTAACGCTCTGACAGCTCTTTGTGAGGAAAGCCGCGAGGAAAGAACTGAAGAAAAGCGAGAGCTGAGGTGCGACACGGCCGCATGCCAATGGTGCGACACGTGTTGTCTACCAGCTAGCACGAACAGCGAAGGCACTCCCATGCAACGGTTGCCTAGCTTGCGAATTGTGAATGGCAGTGATGACTGGTTCTCTACGGCTGCTCACCTCTGTGAAGGCCTGAGGCCCCCGAAGTGGCCAGGTGCGGTGCATAGGGGCTGACTGAAAGGACCTTTCTTGACGGTACGAAGCCGCAAGTCTAAAGCAAGCTAGATTGCCAACCGGGGATGGGTGTCGAATCTTATCTGCTTGGCCTTGGCATGTTGTCTTGTGAGACGACACGTCAAAGACAACACACGAACGACACGGTCAACCACACTCGCGCCAGTGCGCCTCAGAGTGCGGCCGACCTCTTCGCCCGCGCAGAGGCACCGCAGTGCTACATTCCGCTAGCCTCACACACCCTCATTCCTAAGAGGTTTCTATGAGACATTCCAGCTTCGAGAGGCGTTGACTTTCCTTTTCCTGTGATTCTGCTACCTTAATCCGTAACTCGCAGTCTAAGTTTCAGTTGCTCAGATGCGTCTGAACGATCTCGTGGTGTGGATGTTGGACGGCTATCGATCCGCCCCGCCCGTGAAAGGGAAGGGTCATTTGGGTGACGCACACTTTGCGCTTGCACAGGCACTCTGCGAGGCGCAACACTTCGCAGAGGCTGCAGAGCTCTTCAGGCCAAGCATTTTTGGAAGACCTAAAGTTTCGAAGTGAAGACTCTTGAGGGCTCTGGACATGTAAAGGATACTGACTTTCTTACTCTTGTCTCAAATGACCTCAATCTTGAACATCGTTGAGGTGCGTCCTAGCTGCCCTTCGAGCAAATGCAGATCGGGAAGCCATGCGATCTGTCGAGGCGGAGGTCTGGGCTCATTTGGGCGTTGCAATGCAGTTTCTTGGCAGATCCGATCGCGGTGGATGAAACGATGAATGATCAATGAGCAATAAAAAGAAAGACATAATTTGTACAATAAATACTTCAGCATACTTAGTTCAATTAGACCATTGATGACACCCCCACAACATGCAAAGCAACAAGTGATAGCTAAAGAAAGTGATTCAAACTGCAGGGATGGGATGATATAAGATATAAGATGTTGTGTTTTGTTTCTTGGTTTGAGAGTCCGCAGCGAGGTCTCTAGATGACATCGCTGCGGCCATCGAGAGCTACTGCCAAGCTGTGCGTTTGGACCCTTCTTTGCATGTGTGCTTTGCCAACTTGGCGACCCTGTACATGTACCTGGAAGATTTTCAAAAGGCCGAGGCGGGGTCTGAAAAAAGCGTCTACTAGACAACTCCGAGCAGTCCCATTCACAGTTTTTCACCAAACAGTTTACTGTTGGGGTACTCTCTTCGGAAAAAAGGGCTGGCCACACTGGCTGACCGCGCCCCTGAACTTTGTGTCCAGGCTCCGTGTCCAGTGTCCAGGCTGTGTGTCTGGGCTCTGTCCGGGTCTTGTCCTCCTCTTGTCCCCTGGCCGCACTGGCCAACCCTGTGTCCTCCTCTTGTCCTGCTGTTGTCCTCTGGCCGTGCTGGCCAACCTTGTGTCCTCCTCTTGTCCTCCTCTTGTCCTGCTGTTGTCCTCTGGCCGTGCTGGCCAACTTTGTATCCTCTTCTTGTCCTTCATCTTTTTGTCCTCTGTTGTCCTCATGTCCTCCTGCCCTGGTGCTCTTCACGCTGCTTTGCGAGGCAGGGAACAACAAGTCTTACCGACTAACCTGGTTGGGGTCTAAGTCTATGCTGGTATAATTCTGGAATCCCCCTAAGAAGGCTGGCTTAACGCCACAGTTCCACTTGACAGATTGCCTCACAAACCGGCAATCTTTCACTGAATGAAAAGTGGGAGTCTTGCTTGAATGTGTTAGGAACATTTGGACAAACACATGCCGTCATTGTTGGATCAGCCTTGAAAAGGAGCATATCTCAAAAGCTTTGCTCCTGGAGCCTTCCAATCAAGCATACTCAGTGACTTGTCAAAAAGCAAAGACATGCAGATGTGAAGAAACCCACCTAAGTGCAACACTGCCTCTCTGAGGACATCAAGGAGTCAGTGCGCACCCGATCGAAAAGCGTTGTTTCTGCCACTTCAAGGCGGTCTGAGACAAGGAAAGCGGGCAGAGACTGATGCGTCGCTATCGTTTTCCATGTCAAGTGACATCGGTGAATGTCGCTCTAGAGTTCCACAAGGGTACCTCTGGCGGCAGTTTTCATAGCCTCGTTGCTCAAGCGGGGGACAGACTTGTGTCTTCAGCAATGAATCAACATTACCGTATGTCACTGTACTACATCTTAATCTTGACTCTGTCGTTTTGGAACATCACAGCGCACAAACTTTGAGGCTGGCCCGCTTGAGCAGCTAATGGTGCTAGAATCTTCTCTTGTTCGAAGCTATGGCTTCCTCATGCAGGGTTGGACAAGCCGCAAGCCTGTGGCTTGTGTCGAACATTCGGGAAAAATGAGCATTCTGACTTTTTCGTGTCCCATGGATGGGTCGGAAGTGATGGACCAGTGCACCAGCTGGGACGTTCCAAGGGCGTATTGCACACCCGAATGCCAGCGGGCTCATTGGCGGGTTGGGATCTCAGAGCACACAGCTCTCCGTGCTCGACGGCTACACGTGTCGGCTCTGAGGTGCACAAAGCCATGACCCCAGAGTCGGAGCTGCAGACGATTATACGACCATTATATATGTATACGGTCCAATTATCATAATATTGTAAAAGCAAGAATAAAACATGATCAAGATACCATTGATTGAGATTGTGTTGAACGCTGTAGGCAGGCATTCGGGAATTCCCCATTGATTTTTCAAAATTGAAGTTTCTTCTGGCTCTTTTTGACTTCGTTCTCCACTCTCAACTGCTAGGCTGTTTGCGGCCTGAAGCCGGTGAAGCACGAAGCAAGGATCTGAGGTTTCGCAAGGTCCATCCCTTGGATTTGACTAAAAAGGAAAACATGTAAGGCTTTGGATGAGGCTTTGGATGCTTGCAGAGGCGAGGAATTGCAACTCATTTTTTTTCGAAAAGCCAGAGTACTCTGCACGTGTGAGTGGACGTGTTTCTGAATCCGTTCGGATGCAGGGAAAGCGCAGATGTTTTTGCCTCTAGGCGGGTGAAATGATAAATATTGTTCAATTAGCGGCTAGCCATTACCTCAAATCTTCAAGTATAGGACGCTACTAGGGGCTCCTGGCCGTACTACTAGGAGCAAGGACGCTAC